CGTCCCACGACGCCTGTTGTTTCAATGGTGAGCTCGTCGGGCCTGCACCGCAGCGCTTCCGCGTGTCTGGCGGGGTCGTCCGAGGGGGGCCATTGCTCGACATATATTCGGCCGCCCCCCCCGCTTTGCGGCCGACAGCGACCAAGGGAGGCACGCGTGTATCTAGCAGCCTTCGGCTCATGCCGCCATCGTGCCTGGGTTGTGCCTGTGAGGCCACGCGCGCGCTTGTACGCATTTCTTGGGGCGGGTTTCCGCGGGATTCCCTGGCGCAGTTGGTATGCCTCTTTGGGTTTGTTTCGTGCCCTCTTGACCTCCCTTTAGCGGGCCAGGGGGCGTCCATTGGGGCCCACTGAGCCAGTCGGAGTATCGCGCGGCACGGGGGGGGGGCTCTTCGGGCCTCTTGGGATTTGTCGGGGTGGAAGGCCCGAGTTCTTGGGTTCGATATGTATTGCTCATAAATGAGACCGCGACTGGTTCAACATAGGCACGTTAGGCTAGAGCGGGTCTTGCGTCGGCGCAAATCCCACGGGGAGTTGTTGTAATCCGAAGGATTTACTGTTGCAAAACATGGCAAGGGTCACAGATTTGGCTGCCCCCCTGAGGATCTATGATGCAAACAAGGGTCCCAGGGTTGGCGGGCCTTTGTTGGGAATTACTGATGCAAAAATGGGCCCCAGATTTGGCGGGCCCCTCAGGGGATGTCCTGGCTGTCCCGTAGCAAAAACCAATTGTTTCTGAAGTGAGTTCTGCCCAAGAAATTGATTGACGCAGAAATGAACCCATATTGAGTTGACCTGGGTGTTGTGTTATGTTGTGCGTTTCCCAGCCGTCCTGTGGTGTTGGCCCTTGGTTTGAAGAGACAGCGCCCCGCGTCCCTCCTTCCCCCCGCTGCCTCCTCCCCCTCCCCCTCTCCCATCCCATCATCATCACCATCGCCATCATCATCATCAGCATCAGCATCATCATCATCATCATCAGTATGACCACCACCATCATCATCATCATCAGCATCAGCACCCTCATTATCACCATCATCATCATCATCATCATCACCATCACCATCATAATCATCAGCATCGTCCTCATCACCATCATCATCATCACCCACTTCGGCACACCCCTCACGTGTTTCGTGGCCCCATAGGGGGCTCCACCGAAGGTCCCAGTGGGTGTGCCCGTATGCTCCCCGCACACCCATGTCTCATTGCCCCTCGCACGTTTCGCGGCCCCATTGGGGGCTCCACCGAACGCCCCAATGGGTGTGCCCGCATGCGTCCCGCACACCCATGTCGGCACACCCCTCACACGTTTCGCGGCTCCATAGGGGGGCCCACCGAAGGTCCAAGTAGGTGTGCCCGCATGCGTCCCGCACACCCATGTCGGCGCACCCCTCGCACGTTTCGTGGCCCCGTAGGGGGCCCCACCGAAGGTCCCAATGGGTGTACCCGCATGCGTCCCGCACACTCCTGTTGGCACACCCCTCGCACGCTTCGCGGCCCCACATGGTGGCCCCGCCGACAGTCCCAGCGGGCGTGCCCGCACGCGTCCCGCACACCCATATTTCGGCACACCCCTCACAGAATTCGTGGCCCCACAGGGGGCCCCACCGAAGGTCCCAGTGGGTGTGCCCGCGTGCACCTCGCACACACATTTCTGCCCACCCACGCTTCGTGGCCCCATGGGGGGCTCCGCCGAAGGTCCCAGTGGGTGTGCCCGCATGCGTACCGCACACCCATTTCGGCACACCCCTCGCATGTTTCGTGGCCCCATAAGGAGCTCAACCGAAGGTCCCAGCGGGTGTGCCCGTATGCGTCCGCCACCACCCATGTCGGCATACCCCTCACACGCTTCGTGGCCCCATAAGGGGCCCGACCGAAGGTCACAGTGGGCGTGCCCACATGCGCCCCGCACACGCATTTCGGCACAGCTTCGTGGCCCCATAGGGAGCTCCACCGATGGTCCCAGTGGGTGTGCCTGCATGCGTCCCGCACGCCCATTTCGGCACACCCCTCGCACGTGTCGTGGTCCCATAGGGAGCCCCACCGTCGGACTTAGTGGGCGTGCCCGCATGCGTCCCGCACACCCATATTCCGGCCCACCCCTCACACGTTTCGTGGCCCCATAGGGAGCTCCACCGAAGGTTCGCATGTTTCGTGGCCTCATAGGGAACTCCACCGAACGTCCCAGTGGGTGTGCCCGCTTGCGTCCCTCACACCCATATTTCGGCACACCCCTCACTTGTTTCGCGGCCGCATAAGGAACCCCACAGAAGGTCTCAGTGGGCGTGCCCGCATGCGCCCCGCACGCCCATTTCGGCACACCCCTCACACGCTTCGTGGCCCCATAGGGAGCTCCACCGAAGGTCCCAGTGGGAGTGCCCGCATGCGTCCCGCACGCACATTTCGGCACGCCCCTCGCACGCTTCGCGGTCCCGTAGGGGGCCCCACCGAAGGTCCCAACGGGTGTGCCCGCATGCGTCCCGCACGCCCATTTCGGCACACCCCTCGCACGCTTCGTGGCCCCATAGGGGGCCCCACCGAAGGTCCTAGTGCGTGCGTGCCCGCATGCGTCCACCACCACCCAGTACAGCCATCGCCCCTTTCGTTTCACCCACCCAGTACAGCGTTTCGTGGCCCCATGGGGGGCTCCACCGAAGGTCCCAGTGGCACCGCCCGCATGCGTCCGCCACCACCCAGCACAGCCCTTGCTCCTTGCGCTTCGCCCACACAGTACAGCGCTTCCTGGCCCCATGGGGGGCTCCACCGAAGGTCGCAGTGGCACCGCCCGCGTGCGTCCGCCACCACCCAGCACAGCCCTTGCTCCTTGCGTTTCATCCACCCAGTACAGCGCTTCGTGGCCCCATGGGGGGCCCACCGAAGGTCCCAGTGGCACCGCCCGCATGCGTCCGCCACCACCCAGCACAGTCATTGTTCCTTGCGTTTCACCGACCCAGTACCGCGCTTCGTGGCCCCATGGGGGGCTCCACCGAAGGTCCCAGTGGCACAGCCCGCATGCGTCCGCCACCACCCAGCACAGCCCTTGCTCCCTGAGTTTCGCCCACCCAGTACAGCGCTTCGTGGCCCCATAGGGAGCTCCAGGGAACGTCCCAGTGGCACCGCCCGCATGCGTCCGCCACCACCCAACACAGCCCGTGCTCCCTACGTCTCACCAACCCAGTACAGCGTTTCGTGCCCCCAAAGGGACTTCCACCGAGGAAGATATTCACAATCGGGGTGCTCACAACTACATGTGGTTGGGTTTTCGCCAGGCTAATTTTCCAGCGGCCGCTGTGAATCCCCTCGTTTCAAGACCCATGCTCCAGGCAACTGCCGCAACAGAGCACATCGATTGAGTTTCGGGGGCGTGCTGTGTACAAGGGGGATGAAGATAGACACCCCTTCTTTTGCAAATGCCGCCTCTGTAAACTAAGCCGATTGAGGCGAAATACTTGGGCAGGTGCCTACTTCATGCTGACGGCGTGGTGGCGGACGCGAGGTGCTCTCGCAAGACAGGATGTCGGTGTCCCAGCTGCTTTCTGGTCTCCTGTCGGCGGGCGCGGGCATCCACTGGATGGCCAAGCAGCTGTTGTGGCAAGTGGGGTCCCTCTTCGACGCCGCGCTCCTCGGATGCTCGGCAGGTGGGGCGCCTGTCCCAGGGGCACTGGTCACAGTTGTGGAGGCCAAGGAGAGCGATGCATATGGGGCCAGGAATCGGTTCCTCCTGAAGTATTTCATGTCCGCGCGGCGGCTTTTCGAGGTGCGGGACGGAGAGCCAGC